AAATTAGCTGCCATGCAACATATGTAAAGCTTTCCCCATTCTGCAGCTGCACCTATACTGTCAGCTATTACTAATACCTCTACTTCTTTTTTTCTAACCTTTAAATTGCTTAGCACAGTGCTATTGATAAATGGTGCAGGGTGCTTTCAGAAAGGTAGATAAAACAAGCTTTGAATTTTCTGCATCTCTAAATTGGTGAAAAGCAACGTTTGAGCAAAACCTACATTTGATTTTCAAAATCCCCTCTTCTGCTTTCTGTAGTGCTTTAATAACACCAACAAGGGTGACTTAAAAGTGTAGCATCACCTGTGAAAACTATTAATGAGCATACATATGTCCAGAGGTATTGGCATAATGAAGTATCTTTTAAAATATGTTGTAAGAACATTTCATCATTTTTTTTACATAATGGCATTAAAGAGCTGTAAACATAGGACAAGATCAAATAAAGCAAAAGATGCTAGCTGCTATGTATTTTGAAACTGTACTTCCCAAGTTTATTAGGTATGAGTGTCTAAGTCTGCTCATCTCTTGGTGTGGCGGTGCTGCTGTGTTGGAAGAGGCCTTCACTGGGGGACAGTGGAATTCAAATGACAGGGCCCTTCCTGATAGGCGGAGGGGCATATGCCCCGTTGCTTATCAGGAGCTGGATCTTAGCTGCACCCTGCATTGGCAAATGGGGATGCAGGCTGGGACGTGGGCTGTGCCAGGAGTCGAAGCCAATGGTAGGCTTCCCTTGGATCCGCCCCCTCACCGAGGGCACAGCCTGTTTGTTCCTGCGCCAGGTTTTCCCCCATCCCACCCACCCATGGTTTACGCTGATAGGCAATGACTTTGCTGTGGCTATGGTGGTCGCCGTTCTTTACGGGATGGGTAGGAATTTGCCCACCAGGCTAATTGGCACTGATTCAGTGGTTTTGCCTACCCATAGCAATTCGTCACAACTGGTTGAGCACTGGGGCAATCCCTTGTTTTAGATGGAAGGGAGGTTGTGGTCCCCACCTGCCCCTCCAAATGCTGAGGTATCCCATTAAAGGGATCCGGGGGGCGTGGCCATGTCCATGTGCCCAGGGCCAAAGGCACTCTCCCAGACGGCGGTCCCTGTGGGGGTCACCCTATTTGATGTAAGTCTTAGGAACCCCTGCCTGGACTGACCACGCGTTACTTCCGGCGGGCGGGCCAGAAGTATTTAGATTGCCCCATGCCCAAGCCAAACCTCTTTCATTGAACTTTATTCAATAAAGTTGTGGCCTGTTTTTACCCAAAACCCAGTCTGATTATTTATATGGGTTCAATTGAAGTATCAAAATGCTGACTCAGAGGCCAGACAAAATATCAGGATAGATTACATA